AAGAAATGGGCAACTGAACTAAACAGAACTTTCTCAAAAGAAGAAATTCAAATGGCCAAAAAACACATGAAAAAATGTTCACCATCTCTAGCCATACAGGAAATGCAAATCAAAACCACACTAAGATTCCACCTCACCCGTTAGAATAGCCATCATCAAAAACACCACCAACAGGTGATGGCGAGGATGTGGGGAAAAAGGAACCTTTGTACATTCCTGGTGGGAATCCAAGCTAGTGCACCCACTCTGGAAAAAAATATGGAGGCTTCTTAAAAATCTAAACATAGATCTGCCATATTATACAGCAATCCTACTCCTGGATATACCCAAAGGAATGTGACACAGGTTACTCAAGAGGTACCTGCACACCCATGTTTATTGCAGCACTGTTCACAATAGCCAAGTTATGGAAACAATCAAGATGCCCCACTACAGATGAATGGATTAAGAAAATGTGGTACTATACACAATGGAGTTTTACTCAGCCATGAAGAAGAATGAAATCTTATTATTCTCAAGTATATGGATGGAAGTGGAGAACATCATTCTGAGCAAGGTTATCCAGGCTCAGAAGACCAAAAAGCCTATGTTCTCCCTCATATGTGGACTTTAGATCTAGGGCAAATGCAGCAATGTGGTTGGACTTGGGTCACATGCTAAGGGGACAGCACATACAGGAGGTATGGGGATAGGTAGAAAACATGAAAGTGTTTGATGTCTCCACTGCAGAGGAACTAATACAGAAACCTTAAAGAGATAGAGGTCAATATAGGAAGGGATCAGGAACTACTGAAATGGTCAGGTAGAGATGAATCAACTTGGGTTGTAACACACTTGTACATGGAAGCAATGCTAGGAATCTCTCTGTACAGCTATCCTTATCTCAACTAGCAAAAACACTTTGTCTTTCTTACTATTGCTTATGTCTTCTCGTCAACAAAATTAGAGATAAGGGCAGAACAGGCTCTGCCTGGAAGTGAGGGGGTGTGGTGGGGAGAAGAAGGGGGCGGGGGGCAGGGGAGAGAAATGGCCCAAACAATGTATGCACATGTGAATAAATGAATAAAGAATTATAAAAAAAAGAAAAGCATGTTTAGGGTTCAATACTAAACATGTTAAAATGGGGAATCTGTGGAACACCCATGTGAGGCTGCCCAGATGCAATTTGAGAAGATACTTCTTCCAATTTTTAGAGCTCCAAAGAAAGGTCAGGGTCAGAGATGCTGGGGACAGATGTATAGAGATAGGAAAAATTGCGTAATACTTCTTCTTTCTAAGACGGTCAGGTAATCAAAATGAGATAATGGGTGTACATGTTCAGGGTAAACTCCAAAAGGTTACACAAAGACTAAAAGCAAAACTGTGTGGGGTTAAGGGAGTAAACGATCAGTTGAAGGAGAAAAGAAAAGACAGCCCTGCTGTTAACAGAGCTGGGAGGATAAACATAGACAAAGACAGCAGCAAAGCTAACAGGAAGCAAGGTTTCCCTCTGTCCTTGCAGCAGCTGTAAAATACCTTAAGGATCCTCTCTTTAAGTGTCTCCTGCTAATGCTGCCCTCTCACCTTCTTTGCTATGTGTTACTCCTGAATTACAACCATCGGGGACACTCAATTCTAAACTGATCTCACCTCATGACAGCACCCTATCCCAATGCTTCTTTTCATCTGCTTCCAGAGAAGACAGCTAACCAAGAACCTCAGAATCATTTCAGACCAGCCTGAACCTCATAAAGGATGCCCAGCTTCTCTCCTGTGTGAACACCTGCCTGGCCACAGTCAGTGAACCTATCTTTGTCAGCCTATCACTGGCAGTCTTTGGCTGATAATGCTTTCATGATACCATTACACAAAAAAAGTACAGGTTCACTAATGGCTCTCACATACTATAGCTAGAAGATGTCATCAAATGATTTAAAATGTCCAAGTTTGCGTACTTAAAAATGCTGAAGTGGAAAGCCTTGTGTTACTTAACCCTCTTCAGTTTCCTAAAAGACATGCTAAAATGAATTGTGAATCTCACCCATCCCATTTGTAAGATAATGTTCAGACTCTGCTTTTCCACTTAGTCATTTATTCATTTCACTCTTTTAACAAATATTTATTAAATATTGCACATGCAGCATTGCACTATGTACTAGAAATGTAAGCTTGCTAAATAGACAAGTGGGAGAGAAGCAGTTTAAAGAGAAAAAAGAATCTAAACACAAACCAATGCAGTTAAGAACACAAGGTGTAAAACTGGAGGAAAACAGGAACATAGGGGTGGGTGAAGGGAAAAGGAGAAGAGAAGTAAGACTATAAGGAAGGGAGGAAACAATAAAGTAGTTGCTGGAATTCCCAAGAAAGATAAAGGCAGAACAATGATATTTTAAGATTTAAAAGTCTTAAAATGCATGCCATATGCTAGACACAATTCAAAACATATACTTGTTTATATGTGTAGAACAAAATGAGGGACATGCAACATCTGCAGATAATTTTCCCATCAGAAGGAAATTCACACATAAAAAACTATCATGTCTCTAGAAAAATAAATAAAGAATCTAATTCTTGGATATGAACATCATTCAGGTCATACTTTTTAAACTATTGATTGTTTTTCTTTTTTTAAATTACCCAAAGTAATGCAGTAATAACATCGGACAGCCACTTAAGCTAAAGGTTTCACAAAAGCTTAAAACACTGGCTTCCTGTGCTCTTTAGTACTCCACAAGGGCTATTTCATTCAATTATGATGACATTTCAATTTGGAATACAGAGTTGCCTCTCCCTTTAAATGTTAAATTGACTTGCTTTGGAACAAAATGCATCTAGTGTGTTCTATTACATGCAAGATTAAAAAGGTATCTTTGGTAATATTAATAGCTCAATACTTTAGTAACAACAGAAACTATTTTAGAATCTATCATTTTTTTCCTTAAACTATAATTTGCTTGGAAAAAGAAAGTTCTTCCATACTCTTTATTCTCATTCTTAGGCCTATCAGAAACTCCCTATGAACTGACTCTGTAATATAAATGTACATTTATTTAGTCTACATAATTTACATAAAAACAAATCATAATCATTTGGAAAGCCAAACGGCTATAGATTGAACTAAGCCTGCATGGGGTGGGTACCCAGTGATTATAAACTATAAAATCATAATCAACTTGAAGAAACTTCAAAATGAAGCTAAGTGCTATTATATTTGTATTCATATTTAATCTACAAGTGACCAGGAGCCAAGATGAATTGAGGTGAAAGAAAAACTCCTGATGAAAATGCCTACAGAACTTTCCCATTTGTGAGTTTAATAAGCTGTTTTTAATATACTTGACATCTACCACCTATGAGAGATTTGGGCATTTAGTTTCTCCTACACTCTCTTCAAAATAAATAAAATCTTCTGTAATAATATACAACTGAGGAAAACAAAATGATTTAAGATAAATACCGGATCATTAAAGAGTAAGCGTCCAAATAACTGTTTGGCTTCCTCCAGGCTTCCCTCCAAGTAAACAGCTCCTAGATAAAAGAAAGAGAATGTCAAAAGGAAAGTTGCATTAATATTCAGAGAAAATTACATATCTCTATAAAAAGCAAAAAGGCAAGCCAGAAAAGTCACAGAAAAAAAGCTATGAGTTCAGAAGCAATTATTTTAAAGGTAGCACTTTCCCTCTTTTAGCTAAGCTTTGTATTATAAATTAGGGTGAAAAATAAAATTCAACTCACTAAAATCTAACTCTAATATTATAAGAAGAGGCCAAATATGAATTATCATGAAGGGGATGGCTATCAAAGACCCTATCAAAGGTATTAAGCATAAATATTCGGCCACAATAAAGAAAATGTATCATTTTACTTTCTACATTTATACTTTACATTTCAGACCAAACATAACACAGTTACCTAATGAAAAATGTGATACACAAAACCAGAATCTAGATTAATAAAGGCTCCTGCAATAAAAATCAGAATAACCTTCACCTTTAATTTGAAATAAATAAGTACTGTGCACACATTTAGCATTAATCATAAATACTAAAGTAACATTTTAATTTGGTATCAAATAACCTTGGAGTAGGATAGTTACATTTTCTTATAATCAAATTTTTACATCTATCTTCAGACAGGCTATGATTCCATGCATGATGTTGAAGTATTGAGTAACTGGGGTGTTTGATAATTAAATACATTATTGTTTATCATTTTAATAAATTCACTATTATTTATCAATACTTGTAGCAACAGAAGTGATTACAATAGTAGTAGTAGCTGTACTTTAGGGACCACTTATGACCAAGACCCATACAAAGCATTTCCATATTCCTATTTCACTTTTATGGGGCACCTCAGGAAGATGGTATTAGAACAGATTTATAGGACTTAGGCTCTTAGGTGATTGGGGGGATGACTTAACTAAGCAGAATTCTGCTCTGAATTGGATGTTTTCAGGACTGGATACTACAATCCTTTTAAGAACCAGCTCCATCCCTCAGATGGGAAACTGAAGATCGGAAATTGAATAATTTGCCAAAGACACAGATCTGATAACTGATGGAACAGGGAACTGAATCATGTCCTCCTGGCTCTGGAGCTAACAGAAACAGTAACTCTCAAACATTACGTGTACAGTTCAGAGAAACTATGAAAATAGACCTGTTTGTGAAAAACAGACATTGCTGTCAAAGATTGTGGATAATTATAAAACATTCTCTTGCTACTCTTCTTTTGAAAATGAATATAAAAGTTTCCCATGATCAGCATGAAATTATAATGGGGAACTTTTACATTCATTTTCAAAGGAAGAGGACAAAAAGGATAAGGAAGTACAAAGACCTTTGAAAAATAAAATGTGTTTAATCATTTACTCAAAAAAAAAATGAAGAAATTGTCAATCTACTACAACAGTTCATTGTGAAGCACACTTCTAATCAACAGCTAATTAACTGTTCATAACTTTCCCATACTAATATCTAACTATATTCTGTTTATGGACAAAAAAGAAGCCATGAATATAAACAGCCCGAGTGCAAACTGAAGTGTTTGTACCAGTCTTGTTTCAAGAGAGCAAATAGAAGGTACATAGATTCAAGTCCTAGGCTTTAAAAGCAAGGTGTTTTCAAAATATTTAAATCATAAAATCTTGAAAATATTTTTAAACATGGTCAAAAGCAACACTGGGGTCTCTCTAGCAAACAGCAACCTAGAGGTGATCTTGAATCAAACCTAGAAAGTAATCCATCTCCATATTAGTTCACTTCATTTCAGTTCTGGAAATACTAAGTATCATCATGACACCAGACACCAAGAATGCAAAAAGAAAAAGAAAGAAAGAGTAATCGATGCCTTGGAGGAACTAAAATCACTACTTTACAAGACGTGGGGGTATCATGTTATGGATCTTATGCGCTTTGGCAGGTAATTCTGCCCTGTTTCCACATTAAATCTCGTGACAGCTTAGACATTTAAGAAAGCAGGTTTTAAAGAGCAAGTACCTATCAAAGCCTCAAAACAATTAGCCATTGCATGTCGGAGGTCCGATTCTCTACACAGGTCAGGTCCATGAGCATACAGCATAAATCTATCCAGTTCAAGTTTCTGCAAAATTCAGAATGGCACAACATTAAGCAAGTTTGCCAAAATCCCAACTATAATGACTCACCATCTCTTGGGGGAGGGGAACGATGATTGTAAGTCCATTGGCTTTAACATTAGTTTATTAAGAGCTTAGTGTACCATTCATCAGGAATCCTTTATATACAATTCAGTTGTAACTCAATTCTTTCTCTCAAATTCCTACAGATCAGTTAGGATTCAGAACTGGTCAGATCTGATCTTTCCACATTCAAGTTCAGACCAAATGTTAGAACAGGTTGAAATAAGATTCTGCTATAAGACCAGAGGCAGCTTTGTTCATCAATATGAAGAGGGAGATATAAACCTAACCAAAAGAGTATTACACTTTGATTACTGATGTCAGTATTTTTAGGGGTGGAGAAATGGGGACCCTTAGAAGATTTCAAAATGAATAAGTGTAGTGTCACATGCCTAGAATTCCAACACCTAGGAGGTTTGAGACAGAGGATTTTGAGTTTCAGACCAGCCTGGGCTACATAGAGAACTTGTCTGTAAAATAAAAAAAAATAAAAGAGATTTCAAAATGCCTTACGGCCGTAAGTAATTTTTTTAAAAATTTGGTGAGTATTTTGGGGGCCCCATGTGTTGGTACATGTGTCCCTTTGAGGCAGGCTAGAAATAGGAAAAGTCTGGGGCTCGTGTAGGTTGCCTAGGGATGGGCCAGACCAGGCTCACCTGGCTGGGAACCACCCATGTCCCTCCCCACTCGTTCATTATTGGGTGGCAACCTCCTGGACCAGCCCTCCCATCGGGGAGTGTAAGTTTTAAAGGCACCTGAAAAAGAAAAGCACACCCTCTCGGCCAACGGACTCCACCTGAGCCCACTGCCTTCTGCTTCCCTTTCCTCACCTGGCAGGACAGGTGACTCCCTTCTCTCAATAAGGCTATCCTACCTCACCCCATCCACATGCTCTGCTTGAATTTTTCCATTTGGAACACAAAAACCAGAATCTTCTGATCACAGACTGCACCAGAACTGTTAACATCCTTAATGAGGTTTCCACACTCATCTCTCTGCAGGCTTGTTGAGTAATGAAATGTATTTATCTTAGGGTTTTGGGAATATCATTTGTAGTATATTGTATTTCCTCCTTAGGTTTTGCCTCAGAAAATTTAAAGCCAAACCTGTGGCCCATTATGAGCTATAGAATTTATGAATATATCAGTGTACACTTACTTTACCTGTAGTTTCATTTTACAGTCTTTCCCATTATTTTCTCTTTGCTTTCATTTTTTTGTTTTGTTTGTTTTTATTCTGAGCCAGGGTCTGGCTATGAAGCCCACGGTTGGCCTTGAAATTTTTCAGTCTTTCTGCCTCAGCCTTCCTATTGTTGGGATTGCATCACCACACCTGGCTTCTTTACTTTGATTAATGTAGGTACTTATTTCTCACCCTAACATACAATTAAACATAGGTCCTTTTAGAACTAGACACAGATGAATGAATATTTTCTTATAAAACTCCTGGCACTGAAATCATAGTGCTTTTCATAAAAGGGAAAAAATAAAAACGATTAAATAAACATGCAATAAATCTGTTTCCATAACCATGACATTCAATTCAATAAATACTTACTAAACAATAACATGTCATATAATATGGAACAAGCCACAAGTAAATGAACAACATAGCACAGTATGAGTCTCATCAGGCCACAGATAAAAGACGCTCAGGTTTTCTGTCTCACTGTGTATATTAAATATCTACATCTATTTATATTGGAAAAAGAGATAATTAAAAACAAGATACATACACTACTGGTATTTGTAAAAAATATACTCAAATGAGAGTGTTGACTACCACAAATGTAACAGCAGAAAACACCTTTGGAAAAAAAAATTGATCCCAAAGTCCAAGAGTTTATATTAGAGCATGTAAGTTTCATCTCTTTCATAACTTCATTGGGAAAATCCAGTTGTTCGTTATCTCTGGAGCTGCAATTGAGAGCAGACTGCAAACTGCATTTTGTCTTATAAACAACTATTCTGGAGTGCTGAGAATTTCCCAAATTCTCGTATTCCCCACTCTATTGTACTTATTTTTTCATGTAAGCATCAGCAGAACTTTTAAAAAGGAGAGTGAGGGCTGGCAGCATAGCTCAGTGTGGTACAATGTGGGTTTAGTATGCGCAAGGTCCTGCATTCAATTCCCAGGACTAGAGGAAAAAGAAAAGAGAAAAATGAGAGTGATGTTCTACTATGCTTGTGGTACAATGTTCATCTGTCTAGAGAGGTGACCGAGAGCTTTCATAAGATTTTCAGAGTGGTTAGCATTTCTCCAACTCCCCCCTTCCCAGATGGTTAAGGACCACCAGTCTAGCCTGAAGAAGGTAGAAACACCACAGCCTTCTGCTGGACCTGAGTGCAATGGGAACGAAGAGACTTGGTTTTAGTAGATAAAGACCATATAGAAATCCCAAACAGATAAAAAGTGGCCACCCTGTCATTACTTGTGGTTTTACATAGCACTCAATGTTTTAAGTAGCAGCTTTTTTTTGTGATATCACAATCTCCCACATTTTGTATATATTCTCCCTATTATAATCCCTGTGTTTGAAGAATAATTATGCAATTTTATTGTACCCTAAAACTGAAAAGAAAACAATGAGAAACTGGATACAGTCCACCTGCTAACATGTATTTCCAATGGCATTTATGTGAACTATCAGGAAGCATTTTGACAATTAAATCAACTAAACGCCAAAGCAGTTTTACATAGCATTGTGGAATTACACTAAAACCATGTCAGCTCACCTTGTTGCCTATAGTTTTTCAGTAGGCAATCCTATTTACATTTTCAAATGCCACCAACACAGGTTCAAAGCCTACTACTACGACTACAATGATAGTATTACATAAAATAAAACAATGCATTCTTACCAACACAAAAACCACAGGCAAAAATTAACCATATTTTGAATAATTAATACCCTGACAAGATTGAATCAACAAAACAGCCTAAAATTAGGATGTGTTCTATCTACTCTTTTGTGTTAAACACTGTATCAAAATGAAGGAAGAGAGAAATTAGTTAAAGCAAAAATTAAGGAAAGCTCTCAAAAGCTTTTCCAGTGGCTCCCCAGTATTTGGGGATTTAAGAGTCACGGTTCTTTCTACTATTGCATAAAGCTGAAGGGCTAAAAAATTTAAGGATTTATCATAAGAACAGTGGTAGCAGCAATAAAAATAACTAGCTCCTACAAATTTATTAACATCTTTGTGTGATTACTGAGAACAAGTACCACATCTAGTACTTTATAAACAGACTCATAAAAGCTCAAAGTCTCATTTAATTCTTACAGGCAGCCTGTGTAGTAGGAAATGACATTTCCACTTCACAGATGAGAAAGCAGAGGCTTGGGGAAGGGAACAATTCATTCACAGGCCACTCTGTTTGTAAGAGAAGAATTGTGGACAGAACCCTAATGGGTCAGTGATAATGCCTATGTTCTTATCTGATATGTTTTATTAAAAGACATCATATAATCATGGAAACATCAGATCAGACTATGTAAGTAAAACCCCTTCCACAAATCTAAATTAAGAAGAGGTTCAGTTAGTCACTTACTAAGTCAATGAAGCAAGTCTAATAGTCTACACCCTAAATCTTAATTAATGGGATTTGTGATTTGTGGATTCTCAAAGATCTATAAAAGTACCCCTTGTGGATGTAAATTGTCTGAAGTATTCTGTTCCAAGCTATAATTCTGCTTGTTAACGTAAATTAACCACAGATGTAATATGGAAATATTACACAAAGGGAAAACACAAAATATTTCATTTCTTTTACTTTGTTCCCATGTTCCCTTTCCCAAATGTTTAACCTGTTCATGGACAGCTGTCAAATTTTTCCTCATCTGCTTTCATGTTACCTCACTGTGGAGTTTATTAGCTGCTGGTGAAATTCACAAAGGAAACAGAATTAATAAGGCTGAATCCTTAAAACCCAAACAAAATACACTTTCTAGTCTATAAAATAGCATAACCTTTAATATACTCTAAAGAGTTACTCATTCAAATGCAGAATTATGCACAGACAAAGAAGAGAATGTCAGATTTAAGCATGAATGCTTCAGATATTTGATATACCTTTGCTAGCATGGCAAGGTGCTGATTCTGAACAATAGCAGTCCGATAGGTTGCTAATCCTCCTTCTTCCAGACTAGGAAACAAATAGTATAGGTGGACACTGCAAAAGAGAAAGACATAAGTGAATGTGCATTACAAAATTCTGGCACACAATACCTGCAGCAGATACCAGCTAAACTGGACTAACCTAAAGGGTCTGATTTAACTTTCAAAATAAATGATAAAACAAAGTATGTGTACAAAAGTGCTAAAACCCAAACAGCAACATTCACTCATATTTCTACATTTTTTTCTGTTGAAACATTTGTCTGAAATCTGATGATAACAAAGACCTAAACAGTATGTCACACTGCTTATATCTATTAAGAGGAAACATTTGAAACTCTGAAATTTGACTATAAACAAATGCTTTTCCCTGGGTTGGGTTATGGGTAGCCCCAGAAGACAATCCTGGGCAGTTCTGAGCAGGGTACGGTGGTGGCAAAGACAGGGAGAGGAGGAGAGCTGAGAGTGGCATACATGGCTGGCTCTACAATAAGGATGAGCCAAAGTAGCTGATGAGCAAAACATGGCACCTGGGCAAAAGGCAACACAGAAACTATTTGGACCACAACTGTAGCTGACCTCTCCTACATCAAACACCATTTAGCAGTTCCACTGTCCAGCACGACAGCTAAGTGCATTTAGTCTTAAGAGGATTAGGTTGTAGCCCCTTCTTCTATGTCCTTCTTGTGAAAAGAAATGAGCTACCAATAATAAAAACAGCTCAATATAGTTCCAAGAGAAGCACATGCCATCTCTCTTTAAAAAAATGAGTATGTGAGTATGGAAAAACAAAAACACACTTTCCAACCCCTACCTCCAAATCATCGGTGCGGGTGGGGGGAAATCTAGTCATTAAAATTACTTGTAAGCTTTACTTCCCTCAAGATCAGAAAGAGTGAGAAAGGGATCAAAGACAAATCCTGGAAGATGAAATGACATTTTAAAATATCATCCCTTTCTTTTCAAATTGAATATAAGCTCTGAAGCATCTAGACCAAGACCAGCTGATCTCCTGTGGCTGTAAGCAACTTTAACACATGCTTGACAGGACAGAGACACCAGCCTTTCATCTTGTAATCTCGCTCATTACAGCAGCAGCAAGTGCAGTTGTCAGGGCAAGAATCACAGACATGTGGCTTTTAAGTGCTACAGAAGAAACAAAATACATGGTGTTTCAATGCCTTGTTTGGCTAATTACAAAGAAGGTAATATAATAAGTATGTTACCTATAAAACATAATTACTGCGGAAATGTAAAAAGTCTACTTACCTGGTCAGGAACTCAACAACAGCATCACCTAGGAACTCCAACCGTTCATTGTGATTAATCCTATAATGAGAATTCAAAAGATCACTTAAAATAGCACAATTACTGTCCCTACCTACCTCACATAAAGAAAGACAGGGAGTGAGGGAGGGAGGGAGGGAGGAAGGGAGGAAGGGAAGAAGGGAAGGAGGAAGGGAGGAAGGAAGGAAATTAGTTTTAGCCCTCCTAGTAACCAAACACCTTATCTTATTCCTCATTATCAGAAGCACTGATTACCATCTTAGCCTGAAGGCATTCAGGGCTTGCCTAACAGGAAGGGGTGGGGTATACCTCACCATATTCTGTTGTTCAGGCTTTCTAACTAAGGCTTCCTTTCCCTGGTGACTTCATACTAACAATTACGGTATCTCTATACTGCTATCAGGTGGACCAGAGAAAAGAGAATGCATTCTAGAGAGTCAGAACTGACCACTGAAGTCAGTATTGATACCATATTCTCAAGACAACTTCCAATCATCCAAACTCTAAACTCAGCTCAGAATCTCAAGTCTTTCAAAACAGGCCTAATCTAGTATACCATCTCAATTATCCACTGCTATCCTCTTCCACCTGTGCATCAGGCTCCTGCTCCAAACTGATCGCTACTGTTTGAAAAAGGATCCCATAAAACATCCAGTGTCTCTGTTCAGGCCAGATTCTCTGCCTCACTAGAACTTTTCACTCTCTACTCTGTACATTGAGCCATACTAAAAGTCTCGTCCCTTGTGAAAATTTCATCTTCTCTATGAAGTTCTGCCTGATGGCCCTCATCAAAATTAACACTTCCCGACCCAGTGCATAATCATACTTGGCCTTAATTGTATGAAGTCATATCTCACGGGCTATTAGTTTCTCATGTCCAAGTACAAGGCTAAAATAATCAGGCAGATGGCCCATGGAAAACTTCCTTCTCCTACCAGTAAGTACAATGTCACCGCTTCTTCTCGTGCTAACGTGTTTCACTCTCTGGTTGAGTAGAGACATGACATGATCCGATTTAGGTTTTCAAAAGGCCACTCTGACAGTGCAGGAAATAGAAGCCATAAGGCAGGCACATGGGGCGGAGGGGGGGAATACTTCATAAACTCCACGGAGACCCGGGGTAGCTTTGGAGTTGGGGATGAACAGCTATATTTGGGACACCTTTTGGAGATACTGCTAAAAAGAACTGTAGATATTGGGATTTGGAAACTGAGAAGAATGAAGGTAAAGTGTAGATTTCAGCTTTAGTAGCAGGATAAAAAGTAGTGCTCACAAGACCAAAAATGCAAAAGTGGAGACGGTCTGGGGAGCAAACAGGTTGCATTTTAGAATCTTGAAACACCCAAAAAATAGCCACGTGGAAAGATCCAGTAAAGACCTGGTCTACCTGACCTGGGTTGCACAGGTTCAAATCAGATGGCAACAGAGCACTGATTTAGTCATGCAGGAGTCACCAAGGCCATTCATGAGCAATCTGAAGTGGTTGGAGATAAACCTGATTCTGCCTAGAGCAGGCTGAGAAATAATGAGTGAAACTGAATATGAAAAGAAAATGAGTGTCTGTTTCTGGGCTAGCTGCTGAAAGATAAAATATGGGGATGGAGGATGTACAGGGAAGAGAATAGAAAGGATGATGATAGCTCTGACGAGGAAAGGAGGGCACAGAGGCTATAGTACCTAAGCAAAGAAGGCCAGTAGAGCAGAAGTTTATCTTTTACCTCCCTGACTCCAGGGGCTTCCTGAAATATCTCTGACACTGACCGGCATCTTCTCCAAAACTGCAACAGCTGACTACCAAGTCTAAACCATGTGGCTGTCAAGGCTCTTTTTATCCATTTGTACCTACCCATTTAATCTATTTTCAACAACAATTTTCAACTCCAAGTTGACCAGTCTCCACAGTGTACCTACCACACATACACGGCGCCCTCATTTTACACTGTTTCCTCTCCCAAATTCTGTTCACTGGGATGCCTATTTTAAGTACTAAAGTCCCGAGGATGCTAGCTAAAGCCCACCTACTCCCACCCCTACTCCCACAAGACTTAAAGGTTTATTACCCAGTTTATAGCAAAATTAGATACCATCTTTTATTGTTCTATTTCATGTGTGCCAGTGTAGTATCCATATTTAAAGTCTTCCTATACTTTCAGTACAGAGAAAGTGAAAAATACCTGTGAATTAAATGGCTACTGGCTACCAAATCATCTACTTGTGAACCTGAGTATACTTTTATATCATTTCACTTATCTCATGAGTTAAGTTTGTTCTTCTGCCCTACTATGCTTTTACATTTTAGAATTTCAAAAGAAAAAAAGGTAATAGTAGAAAACTGGAAAGATATGAACAAAGAAGTGACTTTGAGCCTTCAATTCAACTTATGGCCATTTTAACATTGTGTTGGGGGTACATTGCGACATTTATAAAAGTTTTTACAATATATCAAATATATCATAGTTAAATTCATCCCCTTCTTATTGCTTTTATTTATACAAAAAAAAAAAAAAGGCACTCAGGAAAGCAATTAATAGCCAATAACGGGAAATGAGAGTGGGAGGAAAAAAATTAAAAATCACATTCAATTCATGTCTACGCTGAAGAATCCATAATCTAACAATAACAAAATTAGAGATGGGGCAAAATAGTTTCTGCTGGGTATTGAGGGGGTGGGGGAAAGAGGGAGGGGGCAGAGTGGGTGTTAAGGGAGGGGGTGGGGGCAGGGGGGGAGAAATGACCCAAGCCTTGTATGCACATATGAATAATAAATAAATAAATAAATAAATAAAATTAAAAACCCAATTTAAAAAAAAAAGGCTAACAGGTACATTAAATTATATCTTATTTGGAGCTATTAGAAAGGTTTTCTCTGGGCCCAATTCTCTCATGGGCTCTTTCTGTGTAGATATTTCCTTCTTTAGTATTTCAGCTTTTGTGCTTGTAAGAAAGACTTTCATGAAGGTCACAGTAATTCTAATTCTCATACCCTCTTTTCCTCTTTTTTCTTCAGTAATTTCACCAGAACCCACTAAAGAGGATATTATAAATATATATTCTTTTCAAATCAGATAATAATATATGTTAAGTACTTAATAAACTCCCAAATGTAAAAAAAGAAAAAAGAAAAAAAGCAGTAGGGCCTATAAAAAACTTCTCTTATTTTTACCCATGTTACCCTAGATTTTAAAGGATGTTTTATTTTTGTTGCTGTTGTTGCTACTCCAATAGCCAAGAGTTATTAAAAAGTTTCACAGTGAAGTACTAAAAATGTATGTTTTTGTTTGTTTTAAATTGAGTTGGGCATGGTGATATACACCTGGAATCCCAGCATTCAGGAGGCTGAGGTAGGAGGATCAAAAGTTCAAGACAAGCCTGAGCAATAGAGCAAACAAAAACAAAAACAAACACCTCCCCTAAAAAAAAAAAAAAAAAAATCTCTCAGAAGCTACTCAGTACTGAGATTTTGTTTTCTGTCAAATACACCTGAACTCCAAGTGTCTGTCATTTTTCTTAGAAAAAACATTTAAGAAGAGAGGCACTGTTTAATGGTAGGATGATGTAACTCCAAAGTCCTCTCGATAATGTTTAAAATTCTAATAAGCATTGTACTAAGAAAGGACAAGAATTAAGCACGAAATGGTATGGTTTTTTAAAAAGAAAGTAATAATATTACTATATTCTTTTTCATGAGCCAGTAAAATAAAACTTTATTTTCTGTGGCGGAGACTTTATTTTCTTCCTAACAGTTCAAAACACTACACAGCAAAATCTAGTTAATATTAAAGCACAAAACTCTGGCAGAAGCCAGGGGATGGGGGGTGGGGGTGGGAGCCATATTTGCATTGTCATATACTTTATTAAAGAATAATAAGACATCTAGACAAAGAATAAGAGCTGCTTTAAGTTATATACTATTTTAAATGAAGTCATACCGGCATAAATTTTACCTTAATTTCTTTTATAAACTTTCATGGACATAAGAACTATGCCTGGGATTTTAATGACCACAAAGTTAGACTGTTATTCCGTTAGTTAAAATACAAGGTCACAGTTTAAACAGGTTCATTAAGTAATTTGCCCATATCTAGCACATGTTTTTCTATGTCTACATTATGACCAACTCTGGCAATAAACCACAAACTAAAATGGGGATTAAATTCCACTTTAGCTTGTTTTAACACTAGACAATTCCTAACCCAGTGGTTTATCTGGAAAAATGCACAGAATAAGCTGCTAGTTTTACAGCAGTAGCAAATCTTTTATCCTTTCTTCTATTGTTTATACTGTTTTTAACCACCCTGTTTAAAAATGACTAGCAAGCTTCAACATGAGATGCTTACGGAGCAGTAAACATTCCATTTTTTTTAAGAACTGAATCAATACAGGCATTATGAAATCTAGATTAACTGTAATATATATATACAGCAAATCTTGCCTAAGGAATTCAATGCTCTTTATAAAATGCAACAATGTCTCTGTAACACTAAGTACGATAAGGTGCCCATTTACTCAATGGAAAGCATCTTGACATGGGCCAAATCTGAGGATAACTATAAGCAATATTTTTTACCTGTGATTTCAAGCCTTAAATGACTGGTGGGGTAGAGTTACAAGGGGCCCTGGAGGTCAGCTGAACCCTCTACCCAACACAGGAATTCTTACTTGTGCATCTATCTTAAACACTTAAGGGAAGGAGAGATCACAGTCCCATCAGATCTCAGACCCAATGGACTTGTGGACCCCATGTAAACCATCTCTGGAATTTAACTTGAAGCATGTAAGTAAATAAATCCATGCAGTGGAAGTTACATATACTCAATACATGCTATAATTGTATTTTAATGCAAAATACTTAGGTATAACTGACTAAAAATGTTGTCAGCTATCAGTATCCATCAATTTTTCATCTGTGAATTCCATCAACTGCAAATTGGAAATATTTTTTAAAAGTTGCATACAGACTTTTTGCATTATCCCCTAAATAATACAATACAATTAATATTTACATTGCATTGGGAATTATAAGTAATCTAGAGCTGATTTTAAAAGAGGACAGGCATAGATTATATACAAGTATTACACCATTGTATATAAAGGTGTTGATCATCAGTGGATTTCTAGCATCCACAGGGACTCCTGCAATCAATCTTCCATGCAACTACCATTTCCTTAAATACACAAACACTTAATAAATGATCCAAATATAACTTTCTGTTGGCCCAGTTGATTTTTACACATTATATCTGAAAATGACAATCCAAAGCAAAAAAGCAAAACAAGCCAAGGCTGCTTGATTTTTCTTATTTCTCTATTACTGCCCTTTTGGCCCCCTCTTTCCAAAGGTCTTACTGATAACATGGGATTTCTTGAATGCCACCAAATCCTTACTATTTCAAAGACCCTTCTGGTGGTAATATTTTATTACAATTTGTATATGTATTAACTATAAGTCGGGCACTGGTGGCTCATGCCTGTAATCCTAGCTACTCAGGAGCAGAGATCAGGAGGACTGAGATTCAAAGCCAGATAGGGCAAATTGTTCAAGAGACGCTATCTCTAAAGAACCATCACAAAACACAGGGCTGGAGGAATAGCTCAAGGTGTAGACCCTGAGTTCAAACCCTATATATATAACAAATTTATGTGGTTAAACAGTGACACTAGTTAAATTATGGGTGGTATATTTGCTTGAGATGATACTATTATAATTAATTATTTTCTAGGTCTCATAAGCAAACAGGCTATCAAATTTTATTTATTAATTTAAGCCTTTGTACTTTTTTGTACAACCTAGCTGAACCCAAATCAGATTAAGACACTAACCGGCCATTTAGACTTCTACTGACCAATACCCTTCTTTTTTTTTTCCTTTTCTTTTTATTTATTTATTTTATTTTATTGTTTTTACATTTACCCATGTGTGTATACATTGTTTGGGCCACCTCCCCCTCCCCCAACCATTACCCTGAACACACAGTTTCCCTAGTGTGTTTACTAGTCCAAAAGTAAACAGTCTGGGATAAAAGCAGTATCATGAATGCACTCTTTCCTTTAATACTTTTTTATTGAATGCCTGTTCTGTGAAAGGTACTAGTTACAAAAAAGAAGGTGAAAAATGAGTAGAACCACAGACCTTCAACATCTTCAGAGTTCAATAAAGAAATGTAGCCCCACACATATTATAACACAAAAGGTTGTTTTAAACAAGAGCATGCACATTAAGTACTGGCAGGATTTGAGTAGGATGACAGGCCGCACTGGCAGTCCAGAGGCAACTGGACAATAAGGACAGCACGTGGAGAAGGGAGAGGGAGTGCCTGACAATGCAGGACATGTCAGCCTTGCTAGTGCGTGGAGAGTCGCATGAATAAGAAAAGATGTGGCCTGTGGCCAGGTCATGGGAGCTGGGACTTCCAGGTGGGGCAGTCTGGCCTTTGTTTAGTGCTTTGGAGCAGATTACAGCTAAGAACTACAACTGAGGCACTAAAAATAGTAAGACAACTAACTGCAAGGCAATCTGAAAGACAACTGTCAACAGTGTGCAGGATGTGGCAGAGTCAGGAGACTAGAAGAGCTGGGTCAAGAAGCCCTGGTTTGGCCCTTCACCCATGCCTCCCTTGGTCTTCACCTTCCCATTTTGAAACAAGTAGGAAGAAACAAGATACTCCACAGAGCCTACTAGCTCACTCTACTTCTTACTCTTGATTGGGAGAAGATCAAACCACAGAGTTTTAGAATTTTAGAGTCTGCTTCAAAGATAAACAAATACTTCCAAGGAGCAGAGACTTCTGCAACAGTAACTAACAAACAAACAGAAGAGAGGCCAAATTCAAGTGCATAGTATAAAACTAATCTATAATCCCTAAAAAACCTGCCAGGTACATCCTGAGACCCTTGGCCATTTTCAGTGTACATCTCACTTTTATCTTCACTGAAGCACTTATCTTTGTCTCTCTTGTACTTGTGCTAGGTTTTTGTTTCTAACATTCTCCCACTACCTGAGGCAGTCACTACTGTGAGTGGGGGCTTTGACTTACTTACTGCTGGATCTCCTAAAATACCTACAAACTTGAAAGGATCTAGACAAATGTCTATTGAATTAAGTTTGTAAGAACCTTCTTAAATCCAGCTTCTGACACTGTGGATGACTGCAGACTGCCAGCTACCAGTAGTCAAATAGCATCAGAGCCTTGAGGCTGAAGCTGGGAAGCTCTTTCTGAACAGATACTTGGAGTCAACTCTGCATCAGTAAAAAACACTACATTCACGGCAAGAGGCTATCAGCACAAGAAGCAAGGCCAGAAGTTCAAGGACAAGATGGACTATTTGTTCTCTGTTGATGGTAGCATCCTCATAATACTAAATTCAGAGATCACACAATTTCTCAGACATCACTCCTTTTGTCATCTCGTTCTCTGTCTTTCCATCCAAAGATGTAATTTAGGTACTGACAACTATGCTGTGGGTAGATAAGGCAAAGATAATTTAAACTAATATTTTCATAAATGAAAAATAAGAGTCTATGGTATGTGTAACCTCGTTAGAGGGGAATATAGGGTTCCTCTTATAAAAACACAGAGCTGCATGGATTGGTAGAATCAACATAGCAAAAATGTTGATACTCCCAAAAGTAATCTACATGTTTAATGCAATTCCCATCAAAATTCCAATGACATTCA